ACACAAAATCTCATATGAAAAAAAAATCTGAACGATCCATGCACCAGACACTTCAAGGTCACAATGCCTTGACTTCACTGCACAACAAAAAAACTTCACCAAACAACAACCAATAAAAAAAGCAATTAATACGTCATAGTGGTGGGGGGAGGCCGAGAATCAGCTGTAAACAACTACTACAGTATGATCCATAGACTGATAAATATGCCCTTGTCAGAGGCGAATTTCAATAAAGAACTGAACGTAATAAAACAAATAGCCATCAACAATGCAGTCTAATACATTCTTTATTATTAAAAAAGTTATACAGCCAAGCTTTGAAGGAAGTTTACTCAATTCGAAAAGAAGAGGATAAAAGTTAGAGAACCTCTACTTAGGCCAACCCACTACAAATATTTCAGATTTTCTGCACAACAAAGGTCTGAATATTGATTTCGAAATCAATGATAACTTAGGCATGCACATTAAGAATAACAGAGATAAAAGTTTAGTTTAAGAAGAATCGGAAGTGTATAAATTATAATGTGGGTCATGTTCGGTGTTTTATATAGGTCAAACTGGAAGAAAGTTCAAAACCCGCATAAAGGAACACAAAAATAGTTTCCAGGATGGAAAAATAAATTCCACATATGCCACTTATTTAATCACAGAGGGATATGCGTTCAATCATGAATTCAAGCCCCTCCATTTCCAGAAGAAAGAAAGAAACTTAACCTGTTGAATAGTATGGATATGAACAAATTCAAACACTCTCAATATATTATGAACAATCAAACTGAATTGAATAATTCGCCATAATTGAATCTGTTTATTTCCAGGTAAAACTAGTTAAGTATATTTACGGAACATTCGAAAAATGTATTTATATAGTCAATGAATTCATATCTAACCTTTTCTACTCCTCTCTTCGACAGTCTCTGCTAAAATATCCGTTTGAATACTTGGTCAATTGCGGTGAGTATTCGTGTGTATAAGAAGTTCGCAAAAAGCTTTTAACACGAATTTAAGATGTTATCGGTGTGAAATTCTTAGGAATCGACAAATCTCCACTTTTGGGAAGGACAATACCAATCTGGAATCGGCTGCTCTCCGTCCAACCATAAATTGAAAACTCCGACCAAACAGCGGTGATTGCTTGGTAATTTTTTCACACATATGTGTTCAGCACATCTGGGCCTGGAGCAGCAAAGTTCTTAGAACCCAAGAGGGCTTTTCGAATGTCATTCGTGGTTTTTGGGCTACGCAGTTTATTGAGAATTGGCTGCCGAGTTCTCTGCCAAAGGCTTCGAACTTCGCTAGGGCTGGGTTTGGCTGTGGGTACTCAAAGGTGTCCTTCCAGAAGGATTCCACGAAAAAAATTTAAAAAATTTGAAACATTATAAGTATCTCGCAACCTACTTGTTATTAAATTTTCAAGAAATTTATGATTATTTAACAGAAAAAAGATACACTCATAAACTTTTATTTATAAGTACCTTGCATAACAGCTGTTCATTTTTTAATCATATACAAATTTTATATAGAATAGTTTGTTCTATGAGGTCAAACTTTACGCCATTTCCATTCATTTATAATTAAATCTATATATTTTTTCAATACCTAAAACCCAACCTAAATTTTTTGACTGGTCCTTGCCTGTTGAGTTTTTCAATTAGACACGTAGGTATACTGAACGAATATCAAAACAACTTGTTTGTTCAGAATACTCTGTTCTTTCACAATAACCAACAAATGACAAATGACTATTGAGATTTATGGTAATCATCGGTGAGCATCCTATACCCAAACCCATTGACCATAAGCTTCCAGAGATGTGGTACTTCTAACTCGCATAAAGAGATCAATATCTCTAATCTTTGTTGAACATTGTAAACAGATTGTAATTTCATTGTTGATTTATTACATTACTCATCCAAGTAAACTTGAAGTTGAAAACATGCAGAAGAGAATGGTGTCTGCTATTGATAAGAAGTAAATTGAGAGATAATGACTTTATTTTCGTATTTGCAGTCACAATTTTTCTTATACATATTTGTTTAACGATATAACGGTGGAATATATCCAATGTGTATCGATTGTAACATTGAATACTCCGTAATTGGATATTAAGTTATTTTATTTGTACAGGAATGTTGGTTTTCACGGATGGCGTCAATGTTTTGATTGGCTTCCGGGTTTTGCCGTGGTCTTCTTTGGTTGAAATCCAAACGTTTCAACTGCAACTGCGGCAGTCATCTTCAGTGGAGTGGTCGAAGTATTCTTCTTTCAACTGACAGTTGACACGCCAAGAAGAGTACTTAGACGTGTCAACTGACAGTTGACTGACAGTTGACACATTAACAAGAGTAGGTACTTCCACCATGTCTTAACTTCACCTTAAAAAATTACTGCATAATATAGACCTGAAAAGTTATTGCATACAGAGTGTTTCCTTTTACTGTTGGATTGGTTTTATTAGCCTAAGATGAGGTTAAGTGACATACTGTTGTAAAGTGACTGGGCAATAAGTATATGTTGAATAAAATCTGGTCGCAACGGATTTTTGAGGTCACAGGTCACATGTAGTGACACTGAGTATATTTTCATAACACTTTTTTCATTGTTGAATGAAATTTTTGACATATTCCCATTGAATTATGGAAGAAATGTTGTAAAATGTAATAAAACCCATAATTCAAATAAAAATTTAGGTTTCTACTAAAAGGTTATAGTGATCACTAACACTCGAGAAACGATTTAAACCCGTAGAAAAATGCTCAACTTGCAACATAAATCTTAATGTACAAACAATGTCAAAAATAAAAAAATCTAAAATCTGTATAATTGACCACAACGAATATTAAACAGTGAATTCCTGTGAGGTATATCATCTTCTACTACTTACAAACAAATGAGTGAGAACGAGTTGTAGACAATTTGTTTCGGATACCTTATCGTAATCTAATCTGAGAGACTGTTTTTTATTACACGTAGTACTACACTCTGATTAGATAAATTCATTCATGTGGAGGTGTCACCTTTTCTCGCTCCTATTATCACTACGCAGGTGCTGGCTTTTATCAAATGATGATTTCAGACCAGCACAATAACCCGAAATAATCTGAGAAATTTCTGCAAAACAACCTGTCAGATTTTAATATACAGGGTGAACCACTGAAAACGTACCGCAACATACATTAATGACTCGTCCTCGCAGGTTATCCAATCAGTTGAATTGAGTGCAATGTGTTCCTACAAAATTCTGGAGGACTTGAGTCGGGTAATCGAAGAGACCTCTTAAATGCAACACTTCCTCTTATTTAACCACCTTGAAACATTTTTTGAATAATGTGGAGGAGCCACATTTGTTGAAGCTTCATTTTTTCTTCAACGCGTGCAGGATCGTGATATTAGTAAGAACAAGCTGGGTACAGAGCCTCTTGGAAGGAATACAGAAACAATTCGCCTAATTCAATTGCCAAACCCAGAAGGAAATTTTCCCATGCGTACACACGATTGAAAATTAAGTAATACCCTACTTCATAAATAAAAAATGTGATTATGAAAAGAATTTAAACTATTCCAGTTGGGATAGAGTACCTAGCTATTATGAAGTGATAGCAAAAAATCGACTTTTTGTTTCGGAGACATTCTGGAAAAAATCGAAATTCGGTTTTTAGCTGTATTTTATTTATTCGTAGAGATATTCTTTATATACAGTCTGGTTGAAAACTTCAGACATCACCAGAAGATGGCGAATGAGACTTTGCCGAAACGTCGTGAAAATTATCCTTGTAAGGATCAAAAACATAGAACACGGAATAACATCAGGAAAAACAACCCATCATCCTGTTGATTTCTTGAGTTCGAGCTTTTTTACTGCTTCATCGTAGTAGTATTTTGTAATTTTATCAATGACACATAAGGTGGTAAATGAAATTTCATCATAAGTAGTCGAAATTCAAAACATATAAGAAAAAGTTTCCAAATGCATCTGCTGTTTTATTGATATTTATACTTCCTTTTATCAGTGCATGATAGCTATATAAATGAATATCGTATAATTATCGTTTGACAGTTTATATGTAGATCAAAGAGTGTGAACTTTCACGACCGGATATTGCTGTGTCAAAACTATTTTTATGTTTTTTTAGCCGTAGTTTGCAGATTTCTATGCGTCGCGTTTCGTCTACTATTGCGATTAAAGCCTTTGATAAAGTCTACCGCTGTTAGTATTATTTCACAATAGGTATATAGAGTATTCAAACTCGCTGAAAAATCAAAACTGTATTTCTAAATTTACTTTTTTGATATATTGGACAAGAATTTTGAAAAGATTTGTATTGTTTCTATTGACTATAAGATCTTGAAAAACGGAATATGAAATATAATATATTATATATAATAATTAAGTCGGTGGCGAATTTCATGTAATTTTTCCTGTCCCATAATTGCTTTCCTACAAACAGAACGCATACGTGCACTGGACTAAATTCTGACAATACCGATTCTGAGTACTTATGCCATGAAAACTTATCACTTGTTACGTGCTGAACTAGTTTTGCATGTCTACTAGAACCTGTGACCAGGCAAGCGAGCAGATAAAATTCCTCGGGCCAATCTGCGACGTCGTTTCGGAGACGCTAATTACCTAACCTAACACGTTGTATAAGCAGCCGCCTGTAACGGACTAGTCCAAAAATAAAATAATAAAACTCACTCATCCAAAATAGCCAACCGAATTAATAGCCAAGAAAACTAAGATGGACACGGCCGTCACGAATAAAATCGAGGCGTTTCCCCCCCACCACCGGTTACAGCAGAGTGTCGCCCCCCCTTGCAGGGCGCCTTAAGTCGTCGCTGCTCAGGACACACTAAACTTCTGATCTCTCTCCAACTTTCCACAAGACTGTTCTGTGCTGTGTGCGTGTATGTAAAAGTTCATTCGTTACGTTCAGTTGATAGTGTTTGATAACACGGCGATATGACAACCAAACCAGATTATCAGCGAACATACGGTGAGTGATAAAATTTTATATATACATAGATTACTTTGTTGCTTGTTTGCGTTCAAGTTCGTTTGGCGATGCGCTTTTTTCACGGACACCACGATTTTGCGTAGGGGCGATTTTTCGTTTTTTTTTTCACGGGCTTGACACGTCTCTGGAGGTTACGAATGACGTGCGCAAATGTTTAGCATTGGCGGTTTGTTTTAAAATATGGAGGCTGGCCGGAATTTTCCGTGTTTTTTAGTTTTTCACGAAATGAAACAAAAATTTATATATATTGTGGGTAAACACTGGATAAAACTTTTTCAAAAATATTTGGGAAAAATCCATATATCAAAAGCTCTATAACGTCAGTCTTTCTTGTCCTCTGTCTACTCTCTATCTATGAGTAGGTACCTAAAATCAGAGAAAAACGTTACATTCAGATAGTTAAGCAGATTAACACACATTTTATTTTCTGTCTTTCGGAATGTTTCAGGTGACAAAAAATCTTGGAGTTCCATTAATTTCGTAATAGATTGTAGCAAAATCTCATAAATTCAAGAAAAACAAATTATTGAATATCTAGATCATGAAATAGATAAATAGATCTTTAGTCGGATCATTATCAATTTATGTATACTAAAATACAAATCTAACATTAAAACAAAGTCGCCAAATCATGTTAGTTAAAGTCAAGGACCAATTTTCATGATTTTTGATTCTTTGGATTTGTTTCCGTCCGAAGTGGCAGAATAAATATGAAGTTAATTCGCAAACCTATATATAAGTTACACCATTTATATCCCAAGTATGACTTAATCAATGTTCATGATTTTTAATATGCCCGAAATAGCAGAATTACTATTGAAACATTCGAAATATGAAAAAAAATCAATGATTCAAAGAACTGACGACGTGCGATTTTTTAGGTTATGGCAGTTGTCATGGTGCGCGCAGACATTTGAGGTTATGAAAAATGAGAAATGAAACTTTCTATGTTTTTTACCACTTTTATGGAAAAGTAAGGTAATAAACAAAGAAAGTTTCATTTCTCATTTTTCATGATGATCTCCTTCCACGTACTAACGGCTATATCAATCAATTTATTACAATTGAGGGTATGACATTTGTAATTATGCGCGCATGAATATTTGTTATGTTTTAATAGAAGCAAAGCCAGCCATATTCGTTAAGTTTTCGAGTCTATCACAACAAAGGCATAATGAAATCAGACTGCGGAATATTGAGAATCAATCCACTGAGGATGAAGAAGAAATCAAACGAAAGGAGCGCCGCGTTCAGTATTGCCACGTTTACAGTAGATTTGTTTTTGGTATTGAGTAACTGTTGTATAATTTCAGAGTTAAAACCTACCTACTGATTTAATTTTCATAATAATCATTAATATATATGAATATATGTGTGTAGTATATATAGGTACTTGGAATATATTTTCCACAGTTTGCTCATGAACATGATGGCAACACTGGCCGAGTTAATGTGGCCCGACTTGATGCTTCATAAACACAATACAAAAGAAATAGCTCAACTAGTAACTCAACAAAACACAACAACTATAGGGCGGTACGAAGTTCACCTGATCAGCTAGTATGTATACAGGGTGTAACATAAGTAAGTTAAAATATTCAAGTGACGTATTCCTGAGACAATTTTAAGAAAAAAAGTCTATATGAACTTGTGTCCGAAAATGCTTCGTTTCGTAGATACGGTGTGTTGAAATAACATTTTTTTGTTCGCTTTTTGAAAATAACTTTTGCAAAAAATAAGTTATTTGCATGAAATTCGGTACCCGGGTTTTTTGACGTGGGAAATCATAATTTTTTATTAATTTTCATGTAACATCTAGAGGGCGCTGCGTACGCTGCGTACGCTGGAGGTGATCGTTTTCGAGATAATTACAATTGTCTATATCAATGCATATTACTTTGCTCCTAGGGTGCTAAGTGAAGTTGCTGAGAACATTACAAAAACTAAGTATGTGGTGGAACTCGTCAAAATAAAAAACTTTTTCCTATAAAATGTTTAACGAAGAATGATTCGTTCTCGAAATACAGATTGTTGAAATTTTTCAAAACATGGTAGCTTTTTGTCATACGTTTTTTGCAATTTTAGTTATTTTCATCAAACTTTATACGCAGTATACCCGTACATACTTCTTTTAAACCGAACATTATCGAACTGCTTATTCAATCCAAATTAAAAAATTTGTCAGGTTTAATTATTCAATTAGAAAGTGCTAAATTTTGGAGTTTGTAAACGATCACCTCCAGCGTTGTTGAGGAGCTGTACCTTTTTTACTTGGAAAAGGTGTGGGAATTAGGTTTTTTCATGAAAAGTAACAAAATTTCACTGTCAAAAAAGTTAGGGCAATTTGAAATAAATAATGACAGCGTACGCAGCGCCCTCTAGATGTTACATGAAAATTATTACGAAATTATGATTTTCCACGTCGAAAAACCCCGGGTAACGAATTTCGTGCAAATAACTTATTTTTGGCAAGAGTTATTTTCAAAAAGCGAACAAAAAAATTCAATTTCAACACCCCGTATCTCCGAAATGAAGCATTTTCGGACACACGTTTATATAGTATATGAGTTTATTAAAGAAACACTAATAAAAAAAACAATCATAATGAAAGGCATATTTGTTATTGCATGCAACATAGAATATGTGAAGTGTTATTTTTCACATTTTCCAACTATACTCATCCGTGAAAACCTTTGAGGAATGTGAATTCATGGTATTAATATTATTGGTTTTTGCTGCTTTACATAAAAATTGTATTCATTTTTTGAACAGTTGATAAACTCAGTCGTTATATAATTGAATACAATTCAAAAAAAAAATTAAAATTCGTGGTCCTAGCACTCTTCCTTGCGGCACTTCTGTATCGATACTGATATCTGATGATGGAAATGTTTCAAGACGAACATTTCGTTTTCGATTATTATGCAAGTAACCATTTATCCATTTAAGTATATTATCACTAATACCGAATCGAGATAATATCGTAAGTAGGTAAAATTTGTCTATGAACCATTTCAAAAGCTCAGGATTCAAGATTGTTAATAGAATCAAAGGCACACATGTCTAAATTCTGATTGATTGATTGATAATTCTGTTAACCAATTGTTCATTCACTCATTCGATTCCATATTTTTTTTAGTTCTCTAAGGAATTTTTGTTTTCAAATTTCCATTGCGGCATTGCCAAGTTATTCCAGAAAAACCTATTTTGTAGACAAATTTTTTTAATTCACCACCCGTAGGTCTATAGCAATTAAGTGGATTTTTTTCAGGAATAGTTAGTCAATATCACTATGATAATTTCGGGGATCTCAACTTTCAGAAACCATATATAGGGTGCTCGGAAAAATCGGTCAAGTTTCATTCAGTTTCAAACATACATAATTCAACCTTTTTCAAATGGAACACCCTGTGTTTTTTCATCTGTATGAAATGTTTCAAACATTTCACTACATTTTTTATTGATATTGGTATAACAATACAAACTTCAGAAATCGATACAGTATATAATATTATCACGAGTCTAAAAAATGTCTTACCATTTTTGCCAGTATTTTCTGAATAGAAACATCAAAGCAATAACAATAACAAGTGATTGGTATGAAACTCATAATAATTCCGTAATCAAAAAATCTTCTTATAACTGTTTTAGATAGCAAGCCTTTGAGGTTTTTCAAATTGTTTACCTATATACAGGGCACCTAGTAAAAATTTGAAGCATTGAATTCGTTCAAAATTAAATATTTCATATTGCCCACTCGAATTCCGTTTGAAAAAGTATTTTCGAAAAAGAAGGATCATATGGGTATATACCGAGTGGTTCAGATGTTATGTGGGAAATGATCAAATCAATCGTCTTCAATTTCAATGAAAATTCAGATGAGTGATGAGTACTTTTGTTTGTATGGAACTGTGAAATTCATTTATCCCAAAACTTAGGCAGTGTCCTTTGGCGGAAATTGATTTTATTACTACTGAAATATATGGTTGGAGTTAGGGAAAAGTGAGTCACACTGTATATTTATTGTTTTCTATATTAACACTTTTTTCAAATCATATACTTTTTAAGCAATATGTCATATGTCTTATGTTGACGAATATTAATATTTGTATTTTGATTTCAACTCCTTTCCATGGTATCTACAGTTTTGTTGTTGTTATACATAATATTATATAGGATACTACAAATGTTGATATATTTGAAAGAGTAATTTCATTCATATTCTTCTAAACCAGGCATATTTTATAATTATTATTCTACAGATTTATGGCAGTATATTATTCATATATTTTATCATAATAATATAACATATGAATTATCATTATCACACTATATAGGCTTTTTTGGCCGGTGTCAACAAATCATTTGATGTTTTTGGATTTCTGCATGTAGAGTGGACATTATCAATGGGGATGCGGCAATGGACAAAATGATCTACCCAGCTGAAATACGCAAAGTGAATCATGTTTGACATATAGATTTGTATACATGATTTATATTGTTATGTTGTTATAATTTAATCTATTTTAATTCAATGATATATGTCTCATCTAAGATATTCCTCAGAATGAATCTTATTTAAAAATATTCCTTTTATAAGGCATAGAAAACGTATAGTATTCTCCTCCCGAAAAATGGCCATTACGCCCGAGTGATCACCACAAAGTTCATTCTCACGAGTAATGTCTACATTTCTTGTTCGTTGAATAATATACTATTACTGCATCCCTCAAAAAATAGTTTTTTCTTATTCATCTATTGATAGAATTTTGCATTTTTCAGGTGAACTTTGAAACATTTCAACAACTTTGAAAAACTGAAAACGTGTTGTTGAATATTTGCTTCGTATGTTGAACCATATATTGCAGGATGAACTTTCGTTCATGTTAAACTATAAAGAATAATGATATATGATAATGAAATAAGTAGATAGTACTTAGAGGGTACTTAGTTATTTCAATAAAACCTGCTATCTATAT